CTGATGCGCAAATAACATTCTTCGCGATTTAGATGTCGCGTCTGTACGAGAACGTACCAAAGACTCTAGTGCATCTCGCGAAGCAAGCTCTTTGACGGTATGTGAAACTTGCCTCGCGTATCTGAGAGCTTTAATAAGGCAGACCGTGCTGCGCGAAGTTCGCGATGTAAGCGCAACGGTGCGGGCAACGCCCATCTCATCCCTATTTCCGAGCTATCATCCGGCGCGAGAGCCCTACTCTGCCGCTTTCTCTCGCCTCCATCTGCGCTCGATTCGTCTCACGGGCCAGGTAACTCGCACCTGGTGCCGCAAAACACGGCCGGAATGATTCGCCGAATGATTTATGTCGGTTCAACCGGACGTTCATTTTAATACGCGAAATAATTGCGTCAGGAAAAAATAACACCGCGCTGCCCGCATATATAAATAAGAACTATCGATCGGGAGTGAAAATAAATATTCTAAAAAAAAAATGCGTTAATATAAATATGCACTTGCAGATGCTGAAAAAAAACGACAAAGATGAGACCGCGTGGAGTTACGAGACAATATTTCATAAAATGGAGAAGAAAATAATTGTTATGTGAACGGGAACGTTCACAACGCGACCACCCGCTCACGGCGATCCAATTACTCAAGCCGACGGAGCGTCATCCAGGTAAAGCGACGGAACAAATTATTGTTATCGTTACTATCGCCTGGTCTAATCTACGAGTAGAATTGATCCACCCCCGGGACTCGCCCTCTCCCCACTCGTCCCTCCGCAACTATTTATCTAAGTCCCGCGTTTTCCTCGCGCACACCCCACGCCTCATTATCGCTCGTATAGCGTGAGGAAAAGTCGCGTAATCGCTTAATGGCCGCTCGTCTAAAACTCATTAGTTTCTTTACTTCGCATAATATACTAGATACTTATGTAACAGGATTCAAATAATTAATGCGGAAAATTGCAATCGGTACGCTTTCGCAATAATAGGATTAACGTTCACTTAATGCTCATCCTACGAGATAGCGCGCGTTCTTGGCGTTGGGCCGATACCTACCGGTTATCAACCGACTGATAAAACGCAATTCGGATGTGAATCGTTAACGATTGGCACACTTTCACACTGCGAAAAATTCGGCAACCTATTATAAGCCGTCTGTATTTTTGACACTCGACGATATCTATATCTGCAAAAGTACCCGATATGTTCTCGTGAGTAATCCGAAACGTGATATCTGAGACGTTACGCCGGTTATAAACGGCATCACAATTCGCGAAACGTAATAGCGCGGGGCTTTAAAGATATATCGCGATTTTACACTGTCGTTGTACCGTGAAATGCGATACGGCTTTCGGAGTTTCTGTAAATAACGGGACGAGAAATCCCGTGCGCGCCATTTCTCGCGCGCGAATCAAATCCGCGTCGCGACGACAGTCGACAGGCGTTATTTGACTTTTAACGAATTACCCCGTTCGCTGACTAGCGATCTTGACTATTCCTAAATCATGCCCACAGAACGATGGATCGCATGCATCTCGTCCCCGTTCAGTATAGATTACACGTGCTTTTGTGAGAGGAATGCGAGGAGATAAATTTTTATTTTAGTTGTTTTGGAAGAAAAATATCGAAATATATACATAACGCAATAGGAAAATAGCGCGTGTTTTCATAATCAAAAAGTTAAGAAAGACCAATACTTCGTGTAATAATAGTGTTATATATTCTTAAGTACTTGAAACAACTTTTCTTCATAAAAGCATTGAAAATTATGTAAAGTTTTCTAAATAATCGACTCGTTCAAAGAGCACTTCGCTGTTCACTTTACTCTATTTTCCTGATTACACGACCGATCCAATGCGCTTAACGATCACATTCCTAAAGCATCATTTCATGATCAGAACATCCTTTGGATAAAGAGAGAGAAAGAGAGAGAGAGAGAGAGAGAGAGACGGATAGCGCGGATGTGATACTTGGCGCAATAATCTATATTTACAAACAGGAAGTCGCGTGTCCCTTGTCGCGGGAAAAAAACCGGATTCGACCGGACACGCGCGCACGCCGGCAACCTGTGCCCGAGAAACCCTATATTGGAGCATGCATGACCGTATGGTGGCCAAATGATCCACAGGGGTACACGAGAGGAATAAGCGGGTCTGAGAGCTGGGGGAGATCCAGGGGGACATATGTCGGGGACACGTAATTCGTCGGCCACGCCTCGACGATCGTGCGGCACGCATCTAGGCGCACGCGGCACACACGCGCGCAACTACGGCTCGAATTCGATTACACAAAGGCGCCTTCGTCACAGAACGTTATAGAGATAGCTCCCCCCCCCCCTTCCGTCACATGATAAGCTAAGATCGTGGGGTTGAAAATATATAGGTATGACTATAGACTAGATCTATGTAACGTTGAGTAGAATCGTACTTTTGTCAAAGTAGAGAGTCAACTTCTATTAACTTCTTAATCACTAGATTATTGAAAAATTATTGTTTATAATGCGGAACGATGTAATATAAAATAACATCTGTAAACACTCACGCTATAACATGACTACTAAACTAGATAAACCGAAGCGGAAGATTGCCATTGAAATTACGGCGAGTAATAAGCTATTTTGTCGGCATTATCCATTAAAAGCCATAGATTTCGCCGTAGGTGAAAATGCGGCAGCAGTAGCCCGCCAAAAATCGATGAGTATTACGCTAACGTTATTTTCGACCAGAAATTGGTGTTATAAAAAGTTAATGAGCGTCGGGCTACATTATTTGCAGCATAGGAATAATGACGCGCATAATTAAACGTGCAAACAGCGAACGAAATCCCGGGAAATCAATTTGGTGAAAGCACCGACTTGTAAATGCCACCGATAATCTCCATGCTTTGTGTTGCGCTATAACAAGGTGTACCAAAACCACCGATATATAAATGTTTCAATAACAGATACTCTAAAGGCCAAAAAGAAGAAAGCTGTTTGTGTCGAGACATTGATATAGTTTGCAAATCATAGGCATTCACTATTTTTTAAATAACTGTTACAGAAATAAATACAGGATTATTATATAAACTACTATCTTGAGAGAATCTACCTCTACATAATACAAGGTTGTGAATTGGGCAGGTATTATGTTACTGGTTTTTTGTTATATTTCAAATGTGGTTCGGAAAAATCGAGAATAATGACAAGAGATGGAAAAAAGTGATCCCCGACGTTTACATTTGGCATGTAATCCGTAAGAGCGTAATGAGCGCCAATTACTGTTCAACCACCATGAAAAGATACGAGTATTATTTTTAGCCGTCCGCTCACGTAGCTCACATATGCTATCGATAACAAGACGTGTCTAAATTCGACGTTTCTTAAAGAGGAGCGTAACGAGGATTAGGTGTAGACGTATCGGGAGTTGTAAAATTTTCATCGACATGATCCACGCCGAGGAGAATTCTGTTCAAATGCAAACATTCAGATAAGTATTCGGCCCCGTATAAAATTTCATACCGAGCAAACGATCGCAAACTAAATGCATCGTAATCTCCGCCATGTTCGTGTTTGTCTCTCTTATTCCCGTCGCCGCAGTCCCTCCGGCTTCAAAAGCAGGCAATTAAAGAGAAGAGTCGCGCAAAGAGAAAGGAAGAAAACGACGAGGAACACTCTCGCGCAATATTGCGCGTAATGTCCGTGACTGTAAAAAACTTGGTTAGTTTAAAACAAAAACGCTCGGAGAATCGCACGCCACTCTGGTAAAATAATATTGTTGTTGCTTTTAGGAAGCGTCCTCGTGCGACGATGATTAATGGCCACCAGCGACAATGGGTAGACGTCAGCAGATACGCGTGAAACCACGGCGTTACACGCGAATGTCGGCACGTGTGCTATTGTTAGGGAAATAGACTTGAATGGTGTGTTAAACAAATTTCACTCGCGAACGAAATATCCGACAGGGATGAAAAGTTGCGTCGTGCAAGATTCTATACCGACGACAAATGTGATTTATCCTGCGAGCGATAAGCTCGTACACCGTAATATGGAGAATCTCAGTATTATCGTATATATAGGATTTCGGATTTGTATGAAAAATTTGTGTTTTTAAAAAATTTGTGTAAATGCTGCATGAGTATATTATATCATTGCGAAAAAATACATCATAAACATGTAGAGAATTTGAAAAAATATTTTACTTCTTGTCGAATTTTTTCTACAAATTGAATTGTATACAACGTGCCGAGAGAGATTATAAGCTACTGTTAATATTTAAAAAATATCTTCGGTAAAATCATTTTAACCTTATCAATTAAGAGTTTATGCTATTATATCTGCAAAGAGGACGGCTGTTTGAAAACTTTTGCGCGTTACAAAGTACGAGCATTTATATAGCCGCTCGTATGACGGAAAACCGTGTAATTAAAATTCGTGTCATCCTCGCGGGTCCTGAATTCTACTTGTCAGAAGACCCATGTGTACATGAAAAGTTTGACAAAAGCAAATGGGTGTTGCTTTTCCAGTCGTATTGTACCGTAATACGATATTACTAAGACCAAACATTTTGCAAAATACTCCAGCTTATTTTACGACGTAAAAAAAAAAAAGAATATTTTTGTGCCGGATAAGCAACGTCAAACGATTAGACTAATTCTACAGCCTCCAATTTTCATCAACGGTAACTTTAGCCTGCGAACTGCCGCTTTGATCAATATGTAAATTATTATCCGAGTGTGATTAAGTTAGCGAGAAATCCCGGTGGACTTGAACGTAACGAGAGCGAGCACAAGACATTACGGAAGATGCACCGTAAGATGCTCCAATATCACATTAATTATCGGAAGGAAAAAAACAGTGATCTTCGAGATGTGGAATTCGGGCGGTCTCTCGCGTACAGTAGAAATACCGTCGAAGTCGTGGAACGCCGGGTACAGGGCAGAGCGGGAGAACGCAAAGTAAGACATAATTGCGCCATAGTGGAAAACGAAGAGTAAGAATAAAAAAAGATGAAGGATGCCGGGCAACAGACTGACCTTGAGCGCGGACGATGGTGAGCAGGCCGACGAGGAGAACGATCGGATGGCACCGCATCATCTTTTTCACCTTCCTTTCCACCTCGAGGCTATTTCCACCCGGCCGTCCTCCAGCTCGTCTTCACTTTCCCGTCTCTTGCCGCACGCGTAGGTTCGCTTTCCTCACGCAACCAATAAAAGAACACACTGCTATTACGCTCTTCTCTCGTCCTTCTCGTCCTTCTCGACCCTCCTCTCCCTCTCCTTCTCTCGCTATTAGCCCGATCCAGTCGATCCTGTTTGCGCGCGACGTCCGGTCTTCCTCGCGCGTGGCGTGCGCGATCACTCGATGGTATTTCCTTCGAACCGCTCGCGACTCGATCGCCGTTTAACGTCACGAAAGATCCTACGTTCAGCACTCATATCACTCCTTTCTCGTCCGCTCTTCGCGAGAAATTAACCGCCACGCGAGTTTAACCACGAATCTCCGCGAATTCCTTTTTTGCGATGGAAAAATACGTCGTATGAATCACGTTCACTAATAATGTTTGTTCGCTGACCCTCGCGATTGTCCCCAATGCGACAATCCGTTCCCTCGTTCGTTCTGGAAATCGAAAGAAGGCTTGTTCGAGTTTTCGCCAAACCAATAGTAGATACATTTTATCGCGGAGTGATCAGAGTCTCGAGCGACGTCCCTCTGCCCATCGAATCGTCCTATTTTCGCATCTCGAGGAAAACTCGAGCGCGGCCGGATTCGCGCTCCGATTCGAAAGAAATTTCTTGTTCAGAGCGCAATGTTAAAGCGCTGACAAGACAAATGATGGAAACGGAAGGGATCGCTATTGCGCTAGGGATAAGGGCCAGTAAACGAGTAATAACGGGCAAACTCGATAAAACAAAGGGAAAGCGAAAAGATAAGCGAGTTGTCCGAAACTTAAGTGGACAAGGAGTGCTTCTCTCGAAGCTGATGAAATAAAGAGTCCGCACAACAAAACGATTCGGAAACAATTTTTCTCGCCCCGAAAGATACACCCTGAAAGGCCGTGCGTGGCACATTCACGCGAGAGAGAAATAAAATACACCGAATGCGCCTCTAATGATCAACTACGTGAATTCATTCTGATCTCTCCCCCGCCATTGGCTTTGTCCATTTTGCGGCGTATTCGCTGGCGCGAATTTTATTGCACGGCACGCGCGAAGGTAAATCGGTTCGGACGGCTTTATCGTCAGCTTTATCGCCGTCGATGATCGATGAAGTCGGAGCACACAAGTGCGCGTAGCAGCTGTTGGCTTTCTGTTAGGAACGCGACGCGACACGACACCGTGCCATTGTTACGGCAGACCACGGTGCGATCCACGAGGTCGAATGACACTTTTGCGAGGTTTCCGAAGGCTTCCTCCGGTCGCCCGGACGATAACTTCCTAGTCAGCCTGCACAGTCTTCGCCGAACCCCGCATTCCTGCCGTCCCTCTACCTCTCTCCACTTTCAACGGCACTCAACTCCGGTCCGCAACGAGACGTAATTGAATAAAACCGCTAAGTGATTAATTGCCGGAGCCTCCACGGCGTTCTTCCATACCTCCCAGCCAACTTCGTACTCAAGTTTAAAAGATCCCGAGCTCGGGTAACTTTAAAGGATCCTATGAACGGGGCCAGTCTTCCAGCTGGCCTGCAATTTCGAACTCTTGCATCTTCGATATTACACCGAACATTCTTATCATACCAAGTCTCCTCAAGATTTTTTATCAATTCCGGAAAGAAAATAAGAGATTGCAAAAAGTAAACGATATCTCTCATGATACAAATTAGACGTACAAATGAGTCTATTCGTGAGTTCTTGAAAGAATGTATTAAGCATTTCATATTTTAATGAACAATTTCATATTTCAAAAGCCGAATATTATTGTAGAAAAATATCGCGGTATAGTACTCCGCTTTGGTTGATAAATTACAGTTTTGTGGTCAGACGGTACGATCGATAAAGAATTGCGATGGAACGTTTCCTCAGAGCTACGTTATTTTTGCAGGAATTACCAACTTTCTCTTCGTAAAGAGAATTCTGACGATATTGTTATTGCTTCTACTTCACTTCTATGATTATTTCGAGCTATAAAAGTCGCATTAATGTGGACGCGAGAGCAGTCAAAAGTGTATAAGTTTATGACTTATGAAAATATAGATTGATTGACTGCAAAAATAAACTGCGAATGTTGGAAGAGTCCATCGTAAATGCTTCCATCTTGTTAGTTTCTTTATTGTTTTAAATAAAATAAACTCGAAAATGCGATATAACAATAATAACACAGAATTTTCACCAACTTTTATTCCTTCTCACTAGAAATTTCGTTAGAAAACAGCACGTGTGGTCGCGTTCTGTACTCAGCAAAGTTCCGACCTGCTCTATTGCATGTTATGGTTTCTCGACGCGCTCAAACATTTGAAACATCTCTGCAAGCGGGGTTAACATTTTCTTCTAAAATATTCCACCGTAATTGACCGTAAAGCGAAAGAATCACAAATAAAATGCGTTTAAAAATAATCAAACGTACGATATTAACGAAAACGACGATTATTTCGAATATCATGAGAGAATGAAGCCTCGTTAAATATCACAGCGATGAAACCATTCGAAATTTTTATCCCAATTTTCTCGATACGACTGTGTTTTTTCAACAGAAAGTCGGATCGGAGGAGTTGATTCCGCTTTAATCCTGATGTATGGTCCAACTTACGCTATTAAATCGAATTTACTTATACGTCTCCTCACGTTTTAGGCTAGGAGAGTTTTACTAGTTTAAAACTTGTGCCGGCAAACTGTAGGAAGGGATGCGTATCCGCTCCGAAAGTAGGATCCAATGAATTTATCGGTTTTCACGAAAAGTTAAAAGTCTTGGCAAGCCGAAAGTAATCTCACTGACCTTGCAGCGAAATATTCGCGTTCTATTTATTACGAAATATTTGACGTTTTCACAAAAATCTTGAATACAAATTCCTCCATTCGTCATTTCTCCTCTTTCGCGTGTTTCGCGCGATAAAACAGCACAATTTTACGCTCTATCGGGAGCAATTTCCCGAGTAATTTCCATCGAACTCCAAAGGGAGCTATTATTTAAGAATATTTCGTTACGGTATTCTCGTGAAATAATTTTCCACCTGCTTCTGTATCCTTGTCGCGTTCCAAAGATACGTTTCGTGACACGTTTCAGCGAAAAATCGTTAACTACCCGTTTCACAGCTAGAAGCTGAAGTTACCGCAACGAATCGAATTTGCTAATAGGACTCAACTCCCCAAGCCTGGGGGAATCAACTCGACGCGTGGCAGGCAGGCAGGCAGGATGCGAGAGCCGGTCGTGGACCGGAGGGCACGAGGAATGTCGCCGTCGTAACTGAAAACGCTCGTTAAAACGTGCTCATCAGCTTCTGCATGCGGGATTCGCGTTACGATTAACTAAACGTATATTGGGGGGACGCGTTTCGTCGCTAACGAGAATGTTGCAGTGAGAAAACGACGTGCGCTTTTGTCGAACGGGCTGTTTCGAAATACAAATTTTCGTTCATTTTTATTTATTTTTAAGTCAAAATTTTTGCAAACTGTACACGCCACCGAGAAATCTAATGACAAGCGCAGTCTGATGAAAAAAATGGTTGGAAAACGCGCTATAAACGGCATTCGAAAACGCGAGTTGGATTAATTAAACAAATATTAAATGTCGCACGCGTAATTACCTCCGGTGTCACGAAAAGGTCGCTTTTAAATAGAACGAGAGTCGAAATTAATAAAAATAAAGCTCCAAATATTATTAGGTCAACAGAACGTTCAAGTGTCCTATATACAGCGATGTTAACTTTATATTGAATAAAAATTAATAATACAGATCGCAGGAGAAACCAATTTAAATTCTCATTTTTCAAATCGCGTCTTATAAAAACATTTCTTTTGTCCTTCTCCTCTACAAATCCACGTTCTGCAGTAATCTGTCCTGCATTGTTCTATCATGAAGAAAACCGGAAAGTCTCATCGATATCGTGTCGGTCCATTGCATGTTGAGAGACTTCGGAGACCATCGCGGGACTATGTGCTTCATCTATCATTCAGACGGTTGTACCGTGTTTACTTAGCAAAAACACCTGTCGGCACCTCGTCGTTCTTCCACCCGAATGTGGCACACCGACACCGATCGTTTTTCGCCGATTAAACAATGAAAATGTTCGGTCGGAACATCCGAGGGATCCCAATCACCGAATGGCCGGCCGATAAAAAGCCGCGGAACTCGTTAAGCCGTCGTGCGACCACCCCAAAACGACGGATCGACATCGAATAAGAATCAAGGGATGCGACAGCGGAATTCCCGCCAGAAAATCCCTGCGATGCACCGAGAGTCACGTCGCGTCGTGATTATCGATCTTTCGTGATTTGCAGAAGCCCTGGGAGAGAAAGGATGGTCGGAGGAGAAACGGCAAGGGATGAAGAGACCGAGAGGAAAATCGGAGCACGATTTATCGTCGGTGAGACGCGAAGACCCGGAGGACGCCGATGCTCCGGAAGAAGAAAGACGTCCCCAAAACCCCGAGACACTCCGCGGTGGCGGACAGCCCCGCTTTAAATTCGACCTCCTTGTAAATCCTGGGGCGGAAATTCCGATTTCTGAGTAAATTGTCCAAGAACGTCGAACAAAAGTGGAGCGGCGAAAAGAAGATATTACGAGCGTACAATTCCGTCGGTGAACCGCATGTGGATCGCTCGCTCGCATGTGGTCGTACGATTGTGGGACGCGTAAAATCGGAGCTTATTAGACGCGCGCGATATATACACGATGCGCATAAGATACGCGTACGCTCGCCACGATCGCGGGCTCGGCACTGGCGCGCAGTGGCGCCCGGACTTTTAGTTCGTGGCGCTACCGAGCAGCGTCGCGACGCCCGTCGACTGTCTCCTCCCCACCTTGGGAGCGGCGTCGTCCAGCCGGCGGCGCGGAGCAACTCGGCCGAAGCCCTCCTGAATATCCTCGATGCCCCGTCGACGATGGGAACCCCCGACGCGCACGTACTGTCAATCAAAAGAACGCGAGATAACATCCGCGGATAAAGGCTGTCAGTCCGCTCTTCGTACTTTAGATAATGAAATCCCTAACTTTATTTTCCACGGAGAGCAAATGCACAATTATTCTAGCGTCGATCGACATATATGTATACAAGTAGCGTGCTCAATAGATGTATTCTTTTTAACTGCAATTTTTTGCGAATGCTGTACTTTTATACAATTTCTTTCTTTTCTTTTGAAATCAGGAATACTCTGTATAACAAAAGTTATAATAATGTGTATTCAAATAATTATATAATAATATATTTAATTTATTACGCTATTTGGTTGTATTGATTGTGATATATATATATTAATATTTGCTCGATAGAAATAATTTTGTTTTTTGCAATTTTATTATGCTTTATTTAAATGTAAAATGCACAGATATTGGACGGATATTTATTGGACGAAATTTTATTTTAATTAATTAAAGATAAAAAATAACAATATTACTACGCATTACTATCATATTGAGAATCAAGAGATTTAAAATATCATATCTGGATAACAATAATATTTCATAATAAGTTTCTCTTGCTAAGAATTAAGATGGAAACATCAAAAGACGTCATCTGGATTATAAATGTAATAAAGTCGGACTGTGTTTTCCGTTTTTACTTGCTTTATTTCAGCTTTACATAAACTTTGATATAACTCACCGAAAGTTTAACTCAATTTTTCGCTTATTTTAAGATACTGTTAAACGTTGCTAGAATGTTTCACGTACGCGAATATCGTGTAAAAAATTATAATCTGCTTGAAATTCCACCACACAGCTACCGAATATATACGCTACACGAGATCCATTTAAATTACGCAAAGCAGGAGATCTCGTAATCTCGGTGTCCAAGACTAGTCCTGCTCCTGCCCTCCTAATTAGTCTAATCGCTCTGTGAAATAACACATAGGTGTACAACTTAAAATGACCCTACTGAGTCCCAAGATACTTGATATTTTTCTGTTTAAAATGTTAATTTTTTAAAATATGTTTAAAATATTATGCAGTTAAATCAACACAATCCCCTAACAATCTTCTAATCATTTAAAGCAAAGAAACAACGTCATATTATTTTGCCGAAAACATTAGGGTGTACATATACGCGTAAAAAATTCAGCATAAAAAATACGATTTGGCGCGCAACGATCGCCACGCGCTTTATACCAATTGCGTTGCCATGGTAAAGGGAATCTTATAGGATTTCACGTTTCTATCACTGGTTTACTATAGTTTCCACTGAGGGTGGAAGCGGTAAGCAGCTCTTTTCCCGGTGCGCGGCTCTTACTGAGCTGAGATGGAGCTTTCAAGAACGTCTTGTCGAACGTCTCGGCGACCATGAGAATAACGGATAAGAAGAGGAAGGAAAAGGGAAAGAAGAATAAGGAGAAAGGGAGTAAGAGAATAGCGATAGGGAATGCCAGAAAGAGAACCGCGAGAGTGAGAACTGCGCGCGTACGCGCGTACACGTCAATGTCGGTAACGTACGATCGAAGGTATTTCCGCACAATTGGTCGTGATAACGCTCGCAGCGGTAACTTAGTTGTCGTCGCTATCTAACGATTCCCGACGAGATATCGTAAAAGATAGAGAAGATCGTGTTCAGAAATCTTGCCGCACTTATTCTGCTAGACGCTACTAAAGCTCATTGAACATAACGTTCGATTGATTACGCTTTTACTTGGACATCGATCGGACATCTGCTCGTTACATTAATTAGAGTAATTAGCGGCAATGTGTAAATTGTTTTAATGATAATTTATGTATATATATATTTTATTAATAATTCTTTAATAATCATTGATAATAAATAATAATAATTAATATGTAAGATCTATTGTCTTAATTAACTTTGATAAACTTCGGTATTATTGCTTGAATTATCAATCTGTTTATGAATTAAATTTTTAATCAATGTTAAATATTAAAATGATTAATTAAAAAATACCTAGAAATTTGTGTAAAAATAATAACGAAACTATTGAAATATTGAATCAACGAAACTTTAAAATCATATAACGATACATACATGTGTGTGTGTGTGTATATGTGTATGTGTGTGCGTATTACCGCACCATGTATTGCATTTTTAGTCGAAGATTGTAAAATATGAGCGGTTAAACACACGCCCGAATTGCGGTAAAGCTTAGAATGCCTCAATGTATTCTTACGGATTAAATTTCACTGAAAAGCTCGAGACAAAAAAATACATTCACCGTAAATGTCTTGTGGTCTTATAAAAGCTGGTACTTTACATGACACATTTCGTATCAAGGTCCTTCCGCCACGAAAGTTGCATGTTGGAGACAAAACTTCCTGTACGAAAAGATCGTAACGGTAAAACGAGCGAAAGTAATGTTGAAACAAAGCTATAATGACTCGAGCAAGCCGAGTAATTGCAACAGCAAACTGCATTTACGCGACATTGTAACAATTCAAGTGCGCATTCCTATTGCGACGCGTTTTCACGATAAGTATTTAGGTCGAGTTCTCCCGGAAGTAATAGCAGAGGTGGACTAATTATTTTTCCCCGCAAACAAGCCAGAAATAATATTCAGATTAATCGTTATATCCTTTGGCACAAATCAAATAACTTGAATTAAATGTCACCGCTGGATTTAATCCCATTGACAGCATAATTTAATGAACGCGTTTTCGTTCACGATTATGAGAAGGAACGTGCGTCATGCACATGTATACCTAATAATAATTTGCTGAAAATATAAGTGGAATAATTACTCACACTCTGGTAATAGAAGTGTCGTAAAGGGAACTCGAGGTCAAGTAAACAAGCAACAATTGTAATATTCTCGATAATTGCGCCGTCGCACGGATTGGCGATGTATCGATAAAAATAAAACTTCGCGCCGTATGTAACAGCGAAACAATTCCAATTCTGTTAAATAACTCAGAAAAAAAACAGTGCATTATTTTTCGTTAATGTGAACCTTCAAGCGCGCTGGAGGTAGTCATGTCAGAAGTTACGAGTGGATCATCAATCATCCAGAAAATATGAATGAATTCGAGTCAAGGCGAATTACGGCTGGATTGGCCGATATTTTACGGGATCGCCTTGTTGTGACATATTATTAATTAATCATTAATCGGCTAAATTCCGGGATAAAGCGGAAACGTCAGATTGAATGTTTTCGAGCGGCGAGGGATCGTAATATGCGTATACGACGGAATGTGAGCGGCGGAAGGGGATCGCTGATACCCGGGAAGCGAGAAGAGGGCGGAAAAGGGGATAAACGCGACGAGAGCGCGCGCAAGCTCCAGCTGCACGCAATAAACGTGCATTAAGCCACGCACATGTGGTCCGAAACCATCGGGATTATGGCGAAAGCTAATTAACCCTCTCAAACAATCTCTCTCTCTCTCTCTTTCTCTCTCTCTCTCTCTCTCTCTCTCTCTCTCTCTCTCTCTCTCTCTCTTCTTCTTCTTCTTCTTCTTCTTCTCTCTCTCTCTCTCTCTCTCTCTCTCTCTCTCTCTCTCTCTCTCTCTCTCTCTATCTCCCTCTCTCTCTCTCTATCTGTTGCATAAAAGCGAATTGTAGACGAAATAGCAGCTATTCTATCATCTTTGTCGTCTTTGTTAAAAACACTCTAAGAGATTAATGCAACTTCAATTATAGATGTTTCGATGAGGGATAATAGAATTTTTGAGAGTAATAAAAATTTTTGATTTGATTAGTGAATAGGAATCTTCTTCGATACGTTTTCATCCTTTGTCGTCATCGCTGCTTGAAACGTCGTAGAACGAGAGATGGACGGCGAATTTTTCGATCGTATCGATATCCGGCACGAGGATTTCATCACCGGACGCGTTCGTTTATTTGCTCTTTTTCGACGATCTCGTGGAAACAGGACCGTCGAAACGAACGACGGCGTGATGAAAGACGAGAAAACGATGAAAAGTGGACAGTGACGAGGATTCCTTTCAACCGACCCGATACCTACATGTCCGCGCGCGTGAAAGCGTCGACGAAAATCGTCACGTTTCGTTTCCCGCCCTTTTTCCCGCCGTCGTCTTGCCGCTCTTCTTTCCTTCGTCCTACGATCCCTTTTGTTACTTCATCCGGATACACGGTAAAGACATTCACTGTCGCCGCCGACCCTTCCAACGGGCATAGAACGTCGAACAACAGCATAATAGACCGCTACGTTTAACCGACAACGAGGGTGATCGCGCCCTTTGACGAGTCGCGAACTATCGTCAATCGGAATACGCATTAGATCTCGTATGTTCGATACGCTTCGTGTTGCTCTGTATTTCACGGTCGACCACGATTCCTATTCTCTGCAACCGCGCCGCACCACGTGTGCCCAACTCCTCGCATAACATGTATCAAAATGGACTTTAATGTTGTTCGACATGTGGTCTGAGTAATCGCGCGTTTTCCTGTACAATGTTCCACGATAAAATTGTGCACAAACTTATACTGAATATGATACATACGTGTATTTCAGAATGTAAAAAATTACTAAAATTCTAAAATCGTGAAAATAGTGAAAAATTAAAAAAATTAGACACTAAAGAAACGACAATCGCGTGTCAAGCCAAATTAACACAGATCCGACTTTGTAATTGTTTTTGAGTAATTCGCTCATATTCTCTCGGTTTTTATCGATGTATTATATTATTTACAATAAAAGAATTGCAATTATTTCATCCTTGTTTTTACTGTTACATTCTGACACACATATTATGTGATAGCGAAAACTATATTTTTTATACAATATAAAACCATGTAATTAATTCAGATTGTAATCTATTAGTGCAAACTTCGAAAGGATACATTTCTTTAATTTGTATATATCTATGTAATAAGAACTGTCGAACGCGATGCTTCGTTTATAATCTTTTTAATAAAATTGATGGCGTTCAATATTCGGTGTTTAAGGCAGACTGAGGATATTCAAAATCAAAATATCTGTTGCAAAAATACAACTAATATTTGCAAATGTCAAAATCAAACAAAAGGAGAATGCGAGAACCATTAATATTATCGCGAGCGACGAAAATAACGTTTCGCGGTATTTTCCGAAGCGATAAGCGCTCATTAAAGAGTCAATCGGTTGATTATCCACATCAACAGTGGTATCGCTGCAGGGCGGATGACGAAGCGCGAGAGTGGACACAGGGCAGGGGGGATTGTTGAAATATCTGATTATTTACTTGTATTATACGTGTGCACGCGTAATTCAACTGCACGCGTATGTTCGTATTTACGGTCCAGCTCAATATTTAACGATAGGGGTTGTCGAAAACGACATTTATAAAAACCGGAAGTTTGTAGCGGATTTTTCGCTTTTCAATCGTTGAATATAATATTTCTAGCTATATTTTTTATACATACGGTTGCAATATAAAGATATTAGAAATTGATTTCATATCATATCTTAATCCACTTTCAAACTTAATTTAAAATTTAAGTATTAAACATTGAAAGAATTATTTTAACTTTGGAGATCAATAAATCACATCAAATGATGACAACCCAACATAAAATAAACCAATTTGATAAAAGATTAACAGTGGTTTTTTAACGATTTATCAAATTATGGCTTGTTTGTAAAACATGCGTATTTTATATTCTAATGTACATATAATTTATCAATAAACATAACAGTTACAATAATTATTATATTTCAAAATTAATTTTCTAAATAAAATACCAGAAAAAGTGGAAATTAATTTTTTAACAGCAGCAAAAAAACTGAAATATTACTTCTGTGGAATTTTGCTATTTTTCAGTTCAATAAATTCCAAATTGTTCGTAAATATTTTCGCTGTGTGAAATTACATTGCAAAAAGGTCGACCAATTGCAACTTCTGTACGCGTGAAATTTTACCAATTAATCTTTCGACACTTTTTTTTCATCACGACGAACCTTGTAACGGTTTATATGAAGTTTTTGACATTTCCTGTACAGAGAGATAGTTTTGCCTCTATTTCAGTAATGTAAATCTAAGTCGGATGTTTGACATAACGATGCCGAGCCGACTTTGGATTCTTATCTATATTTTATCTATAACTTAATGGAACTGATTATCATTTTTATTGATTGATCGCAATAGCAAAGAATAACTCTCTGGGCTTCCATTTATCTGTCGCTCGCGTCAATATATATATAACCACGTTATTCTTCGAATTTTAAAAACTTAACGACACTACTAACCGTCAATGTTGTCCGTCTATCTCGGACGGATTTTAAAATGATAACCTGATTCATTAAGTCTTTGACTCTTTTTCACAGCAAAAATATCCCATCACACCCTATTAAGAAAACGTTCTGTCCTAATTAGTCTCCGATATTCTATTGACATTCCAGATCATTAAGTCAAGAAACGAAACTTAAACTTCAGATCGTTCAAAAATATAATGAATAATGACAACTTACGTCATTCAGGTTATCTAGTAGATTATCCAATAAGTCATTCCAGTCATCCAGCAGGTTATCTAAAATTATGTAAGCATAACCGTTATTAAACATATAAAGTTCGCAATTCGTGCATTAAAATAACCGTGCAAAGAAAATTAATCTAAACTGTTTGTAATGTTTTTTTTTTCATTGAAAAAATCTAAGTAATAAGTAACAATGATGAAACAAAATTTTTTTATTTACAAATTATTTGATTAGACACGCATTGATTAATGTTAGATGATATCTTCTTTATTAACCAAGATATCACGTTTGGCTGGTACGTACACGAAGAGTGAGATTTAATAATTCATAGAACGTGATTGTTATGTAATCTGCACATTTGCGAACGTAAATGTTTGAACGAACTGGTAATAATACAAATCTGTAAAATTGAATACCGGGATCGATAAAAGCGCAGGCGCTCGTTCGATTTGTCGAGGCGCACCACGCCCAATCGCAAAGGATGCACGTAACTATTACAAAATAAATCCGCGCCTGGCGGAGAATTGCTCTTTGATGCCTGAAAACGAATTGCTGGAACGTTCGGGCGGTTCCTACGCCGTTGTGTAAGCGCGACAAAGGACGGATCGCACACGGCACAATGATTTTACAAAAATCATTCGCCGGCACCAGAAGCGGTTCAAATTTCTATCCGGTGATCTGATGCGCGAAATAGACAGAAAAACGAGATAACGAACGAATACGCTCCGCTATTCTCTATCGCACGCGATAGTGTCTAGCGGGGGGAGAGGGATTCGTTTAGGCCACCGTAAATGGTTGAAATTGAGCTATCGCGATTAATTCGAACGATCAATCTATCAGTACTGTTGTTCGTGCCTCAGCATAACAAGATTTTACGTAGTAACTATTTATCCAAATTTATATCTCATGAATAAACTTGATCTTAAGATGTATTATAAAGGATAATGTTCCGAAAATAATCGGCACTTTAAATTTATTTCCGTGAGATATTACATTTTATTTTACATTTTCTGTTGATCTTTTCTCGGAATATTCGCTTTTGTGTGCAAAATTGAATAAAAAATACGAACTCATGAAAGAAAAAAATATTTTAATTATCTCTAGACGCTGTACGCAATTTCGCTTTAATATATTTCCAGTGGTACTGCATACAATCAATATCGCAATATGCATAATATGTCAAAGTTCTACTAAACAGTTGCGCGACAGTTGAAGCGCACGGCAAACAAATATCTGTGTATATAATGAGCCTGCAGTATACATTCTCTACCGAAAAGCGATTTGAGTTTCTATCCGTAGTAATTATCTATTAAAATGTAGAGCACTTAGGTCAAGTTGCAAACTGAATAAATTCGCTTCTTGAGAACGAAGATAGAACGAATGCGGGAGCACTATAACGGTATTAAGGTAGAGGGACACGAGAACGAAGCTCCTTGCGAAATTACTCGACGCGCGTTTCGATTCGTTGCTTTACCAAGCAACGATGATTTCCCGTGGGGCGAATTAATTATTAAGTAATTAATTAATTGAAGGACGACTTCTGACCCGTCTGTCCCAAATCAGAGAGGCTCGACATTCTCCTGCATTTTATATGATGTTGAGATGCATAAAGCAATGTCACTACGTCCTATCCGTATCAAATTGCGACTTTTAACTGACGAAATTGGAGAACCTTCGATATTTTGCTTCACTAAGATCGAGTCGTATGCAAACAAATTGATGTGATTAATATTATTAAATATCCAGAAATCTGATAATTGTATAATACTTTGATATTCAATAGATATTCAATCAAATCTGCATTAATCATATCCTCCTTCTAATATTTTACGCGACTTTAATGCGAGAGGTTTTAAAACTGATAAAAAGACGCATATGTTTTCCGTCGCTCGGGCGACAGTGAATACAGAACGTAACGAGATAAAGCGTAAAGTAAATAGGTGATGAGCGAGAGTATGAGAGGCAAGAGCGCAGCGAGGGATGAGAAGAGGCAGAGAGAGAGAGAGAGAGAGAAAGAGAGAGAAAGAGAGAGAGAGAGAAGCAGAGAAATTTGCAGCCGGGGACCTCGCGACCCGTATGTAGTCGTATAGTCGGTCGATCATTCGTGACGTCGAGCTTTCTCAATGCATCATGGGAAAATACAGTCACTGCGAAATCACGTGCTTCTACACGAAAAGCTTATATCAGGGCGCGATTTATCACTCGCTTAACACATGTCCACGCGACTTCGCCCCAGCAAGATCCAAACTCTTCCAACAGACCAGTAGGTCCTCTCAAACAAGTATCAACACGTGGAAAGTTATCGCGAATGAATAACTTGCGCGTGCAGCTTGCACATTCGCGGACTGTATTTTCGTTGTGCGATAACTTTGTAATTAATTGAAACGGCCGTCGCGCGTTACACAATTCAAATAGTTATGAATAAAGCTGCGATATGACTTATCTCTCTCTCTCTCTCTCTCTCTCTTTCTCTCTCGTTCGACAAACGTATGTGTGCCAAAGTTCGACGCGAACTCGAAATTACGCTCTATCGTCAGAACATCTGATTATCATCATATAAATAAGCGCGTTTCACAATTTTCACTTGATCTTTTTCCTTTCGTCTTTTTCACGCGTGTTTTTATATAAATATTTTCTCGACAAGAAAGACGATATATTAATGATGATAATAATTGATAAGAATTGCGCAAAATTCATCGATCTACTTGGAAATAAAGAAAATTCTTGAAATTTATTTATCCACATTTTTCAGTAAATGCTGCATTTAAAAGTATGGTGCGACGCAATTTGTTATGAATAACAAATTAAGTTCACGAGCCAACGCGGCGTCCACCGTTTCACAATTCGGTAGGTTAACGAGCTAGCTTGTTAAAAATGGAGCTATCTCATCGTCAGCGCTAGCTCATCGATCGTAGAGAACCCAACATTTCAAACCAAACCTTTCCATTTACATATACATATATACACACACACATATATATATATATATATATATATATGTATATATATTTATATATATAATCTGTACACACAGATTTGCGTTGCGCGCTTCGCCGGCAGCAGTAGCATTAACATTGATTATGATCGGTTTACGCGTTAAAATGTATTTGCATAAAAGTATATGCTCTTTCATTGGCAAGTTTTTAATATCATTAAAATGCGCTTTGCATATTAACTCTTCGACAACAAAGTGCCCGCAGCTTCCGTCGTCTCCCTTAGACAGCAGAGCCTGAAAATTGTGCTTGACGCTTAACGAGAGCTTTAACCGGTGTTTTTCTTGAAGAAAATTACACATAAAACGCGTCTGAATAAAGCGCGAACATTACATTTTTCACGATAACAAGCCGCTTTGCTCCACGACGTATTATTGCAAGCAACGCTTTTCTCATTATACGCAATCGTTTTACTTTTTACACAGAAATCCGCGTAAATGAATTACATCCGGCTGTGATATATAAGATGCCTAGCAATTCGCACCCGTGCTCGTAGCGCGAACGTACACTGTGCATGCACATAATTCGTTTACACCGATCTCCATAAAAGGTAAAACAACGTTATAAATGTTACCGTGCTGTTACCGCGCACGTAGAAAACCGAACTGTTACTGAAAAACAATATTGTCGTAGGTTTCTTTTTGTTGTTCGTTGAATTCAGTAGAGCGCGATAAAGTGGACGATGGTGGAGAAGGAAAAAGAGATGCGATGGGTTACGGTACTAGGGCGACCGGTGGGCGGCGGGAGGAGGGGGGGGAAGAAAGGGAGACGATGAAAACGCTGGTGTGCCACCCTCCTTAGGCATTTTCAATTACGCGAAATTACCTCGGGATATTAATAATGCCGGCTGATATTTACGCTGTTGGCGGCATCGCCGCCGCCGCCGCCGCCGCCGCCGCCGACATCGTCGCCGCCGTTGGTGCGCGGTATTGCCGTAAATAAAGTAGTATGCTGGCACACAAGCAAATAAAGCTTATTAGGCGGTCGCGTGCGCTGGAAATATGCGTACTACACTGGAGCATATGCGGATACGTAGGGTTGTACGTACAGGGTGGCATGAAATCATAGCGTTCCAATCGACCTCGGAATGCCGTTAACAAAAACGTAAGCTGTCTCAACCCACACGCTCAGAAGCAGACAGCTGTAATCTCATTCAGTTTTGCCAAAGATTGTTCTCAGAAGATAAGAAATCAAATTTCTGAGAATTTTTTATCTACATATATATTGTTAAATCACTTAGTAATATATTGGATAATAAGCACATTTATTTAGAAAGATTCTCTATAAATAAACGTAACGTAATTTTCTATCTCTCGACTATCTTATTTCTCAAAAAAATTTATCATCGCCGTTTTCAATATACTCAGCATGAATAGCTTTCATGATAGCGCAGATTTGAAACTTGACGATTACTTCGATGAAAAGCTGATTAGGAAAATTGTTGACCTGCAAATTTCTAGTGTACAAGATATTTCGATATCGATCGAACTCAATAAAAGCTCATCTTACTCTCTTCAAAATTTCACTACCAATACTGATTATTGTTCGGTATTATCAAGTTTAGTGACTAAACGATGTAGTCTCCTGTTCAAGTAACAGCTTTGTAAGCTGTGATTACTTATACGTACTACAACGTACACGCGTCCACAGTAGTAGCACGCGCGTATAAAATAAGTAATTCGATTTCCGCACAGTTTCGCATTTCCAAGTGTATTACGTTCAAAAGAGATTACTCGTTTGCGCGCTCGTGACTCTCGCATCTTCAGAAATTTCAACAACGCGTAAAATCTCAAGTTGGCTTTAGCGTTTCCGTCACTGCACGCGTACTTAATACGATCTTTCTTTAAATCTGACTTTAATTTCTTATACATTTTCTAATTTTCTCGACGTTACAACGTAAAATAATGATTTCGTGTAATATTCCAAAGGTATTTGGCAAAACCTCTCAAGCGGTCTTACGCGTTAATTGCTTCGCTTTGATTGTGCATAGCCGCTGAAATTCAACGGATTTCCTAAATTAACAATCTTCGAGCCCCCGCGTAGTCTCCTCCACGGAATTA